GACCCCTGGCGGCAGGCGGCCTGGCTGAGGATGCGCACGTCTCCCCCCTGTTACAGAGGGTCAGCTGCAGGCCCTCGTGTCCCTCCGCGAGCGTGCAGGCTCTCTGTCCGCCCTCGCCCCAGAGGCTGACCTTCTCCTCACGTACAGCTGCCCCTCATGTGTGCCTCTGAGCCGCCTGACGCCCTGGGCCACGTCCCGCTGGGTTGCAGGTCTCTCCTCATCTTCACAACTTGTGGAAGCTTGTGCCTGTGTCGTGGTGGGGCGCTGGCTTGTCTACAGACCATTCCTTCCAGAAGATGCCTCCACGTGTGTGCCCCACTGTGCCATCTGCCTGCTGATTTTATCTACTCTACTTCTGGCTTCTGCGTTCAAGTTTCTTCTATAGTTGATTAGGTATGTACGTATTTACAAGTGTATGTCTGTGGGGGGGTGTGTCTGTGTGTGTGGCGTGTGTGTGTGTGTCTGTGTGTGTGGTGTGGTGTGTGTGTGTCTATGTATGTGGCATGTGTGTCTCTCTGTGTGTATGTGTGTATGTCTGTGTGTGTCTCTGTGTCTGTGTGTCTGTGTGCGTCTGTGTGTGTGGTGTGTGTGTCTGCATGTCTGTCTGTGTATCTGTGTGTGTGTGTCTGTGTGTGGTGTGTGTGTCTGCATGTGTATCTGCGTGTGTGTCTGCATGTGTGCCGTGTGTGTCTGTGTGTGGTGGTGTGTGTGCATCTGTGTGTGTGTATGTGCATGTTTGTGTGTGCCTGTGTGTCTGTGTCTGTGTGTCTGTGTGCGTGTGTGTCTGTGTCTGTGTGTCTGTGTGCATCTGTGTGTGTGTGTCTGCATGTGTGTCTGCATGTTTGTGTGTGCCTGTGTGTATGTGTCTGTGTGTGTCTGTGTGTGTGGTGTGTGTGTCTGCATGTCTGTGTATCTGTGTGTGTGTGTCTGTGTGTGTTTGGGTGTCTGTGTGTGTGTGTGTGTGTGTCTGTGTGTGTCTGTGTGTCTGTGTGTGTGTCTGTGTGTCTGTGTGTGTGTGTCTGTGTGTCTGTGTGTCTGTCTGTGTGTCTGTGTGTCTGTGTGTGTGTCTGTGTGTCTGTGTGTCTGTGTGTGTCTGTATGTCTGTGTGTGTGTCTGTGTGTCTGTGTGTCTGTGTCTGTGTGTGTGTCTGTGTGTGTGGGTGTCTGTCTGTGTGTCTGTGTGTGTGTCTGTGTGTCTGTGTGTCTGTGTGTCTGTGTGTGTGTCTGTGTGTCTGTGTCTGTGTGTGTGTCTGTGTGTGTGGGTGTCTGTCTGTGTGTCTGTGTGTGTGTCTGTGTGTCTGTGTGTGTGTGTCTGTGTGTGTGTGTGTCTGTGTGTGTGTCTGTGTGTCTGTGTGTGTGTCTGTGTGTCTGTGTGTGTGTCTGTGTGTCTGTGTGTCTGTGTGTCTGTGTCTGTGTCTGTGTGTGTGTGTGTGTCTGTGTGTGTCTGTGTGTGTCTGTGTGTCTGTGTGTGTGTCTGTGTGTCTGTGTGTGTCTGTGTGTGTGTGTGTCTGTGTGTGTGTGTGTGTGGGTGTCTGTGTGGGTGTCTGTGTGTGTGTGTTTGTCTGTGTGTGTGTGTCTGTGTGTCTGTGTGTGTGTGGGTGTCTGTGTGTCTGTGTGTGTGTGGTGTTTGTGGGCATATATTCTGAACCCCTTCTTCTTTCTCCTTCGTTTCCATATTTGTCAGAAGATCTTTCTACGCTCTAGCTCCTTAGTGTATTGTGCTAAAATTTATGGCAAATTATTACTGGTTTCCTTTGTGCATTTAGGTCCTTTTTTCACCAGTGTTCGTTTTGCATGTGCTGTGATCTCTGTTCCTCCAGATGGATCGCCATGTGGCCAGTCTCATTTATTTAATAAACCCACCTCCACCCACTAAACTGAAATACCAGGTGTGGCATTGATTATATTCTTACATAAATTAAGCTGTTTCTAAAATTCTGTTTTCTTTCATTAATCTGTTTGTCTTCATGCCAAAGTCATTTCATCTTGTTTATCATGTTACTATGTTGTATAGTGTGTGTTGGCAGCTGGTGAGACAAGTCCCCCTGCCCACAGCATCCCCCACACACAAGGAAACTTTTTTCTTTGCTATCTTTGATCATTTATTTTTCCATAGAACATTAAGATAACTTAAACCTACATTTCTACCAAATCCAATAGGATTAAAATTGCAGTTTTTAGATTATTTGTTAATTTTTGAATGATTGAAAATGTATCAGATTGAATCTTCTCATTCAAGAGCATAATAGATTGTCTGCATTCTTCAGAACTTGTTTTATGTCTTTTGGTAAGATTTTATGGTATTCTTCACATCACCTGAAAAATATTTCTTATGGAATGTTTTCCTATTCTATAGACCTCTCTATTAAGAATTAAACATTTCCCCAAATATCTATTTTTAGCTATTTAATACCAGTATAGAAAAAAAAGTTACAGATTTTTGTATGTTTATCTTGTATATGGATACTTCGTTAACTTCTTTGATTATTTCTAATTTTTTTTCCTCCAAGTTCTAATTTTTTCCCCTCCAGAGTCCTATTGAATTCTATAGAATCGCATCACCAGCAAGGACCGATTTGCCTTTCCCCCACGCCCTCGCCCCCTGCAATACTTATATGGGCTATTTCCTTTTCATTTGTCAGACCACTGGTTACCTGAGTTGAGTCGTCCCAGTGAGAGTGGACACTGTCTTTCTCCCTGCCTTTAATGCAGGTGGCTTGGACTTTTTCATTTACGAGGAGGCCTGTTATTTTTTTGTCCTCTATTACGTTGTATGCATTCAGTTTCCGTTCCCATTTAACTGAACTTTGGCAGAACAGCCCTTGAGCTTTTACAAAATGTCTTCAGAGCATCAGCTGTGTGCTTGTGAGATTCTCCTCGTGGGTTTAACAAGCCATGTTGCCTTGTCTCCAAATAGTAAACGCACATTCATTATTGGGTTAAAACTAGTTTGACCCTATTCTGTTATTCTTTTGAGACACTTAGGAGTTCATTTTATTCAGTACTTTAAAGTTTTTTAATTCATAAATATTATTTGTCTACAGGGTTTTTTGGGTACTGTGTTAATCTTATAAAGATTGTTATTAAACATAGACTAGCTTTAGAGAGTGAATTAATGAAATTTGCATCTTTTTATGTGCCATATGTGAATATATGTTACATTAATAGGCACTGTACATAAATATGAGACTGGACTCAGCTCTGAAGCCAGTTGGCCTGGGATCATTTTCGGTACATGTTTAATCACTCTGAGTCTCTCATATAGGAACTCACATTTTTTTTTCTTCTTAAGGGGAAATTTTGTATTTGTTATAAAAATCACCACATTTTTTCTAGGTTTTAACTTCATTGCCCCAGAGTTATGAATGCTATTTACTTATTATTCCTATATTTTTGTACCTGTATACATTCTTCCAGAGTTTCGTGTATTTCTTTTACATTTCTTTTTCTTAATCAGGTCCTTGGAGAGACTATCTATTTTAATGGTCTTTCCAAGTAATCAGTTCTCGGATTTATTTGTCTTTTCTACTATTTTTTCTTATTTTTCTTAATTTCAGCTTATATCTTTATTGATTCTTCCTATTACTTTTTCTCACAATTTTTCTCCCTAGTGTCTTAAGATAGATAGTTAGCACTGCTTTAGCTGCATCTGTTTTAGTATAAAATATTTTTTAAATTGTTTTGGAGATAGAGTTAATTTAAATTTTTATTTTCAATATTTTTAAATGGATTATTTACAAAGATATATTTTAGTTTCTAACAAAGCTTTTTTAAAATCATATTCTTCTAATGTTATTGGATTATGATCAGAATATCCTAACATATTTTTCTGTCTAATTCTGAAAGAAACATACTAAGAAATTCTGCTGTAATTCTTTTTTTTTTGGGTAACTACTAATATTTGTGACCATCATATATTTTTCTCAATTAAATACCTTTAAATCACATTTTTCATGTGAATATTGTAGCTCCTGCTTTCATTACCTTTGCCTCGTGTCTCTGTCTTCGTCCGCTGTCTCTTCACTCCTGTATTTTGTCCACCTTTGGACAAAGGCTAGCCTTATACATCAGTTTGCAGCAAACTAACATTCCCTGGGGGCTCAGACGGTAAACAACCTGCCTGCAAAGCAGGAGACCTGTGTTTGATCCCTGAGTTGGGAAGATCCCCTGGAGGGAAATGGCAACCTACTCACTCCAGTATTCTTGCCTGGAGCATCCCATGGACAGAGGAGCCTGGCGGGCTACGGTCCATGTGGTCACAGAGAGTCAGACACGACTTGAGTGACTCAACACACAAGCACACAACTTACAGGTATCATCATAGATCCTTCCCAGAGCAAGGCGGAGAACGAGTGAGAAAGAAAGAAAGAAGGGAGAGAAAAAAAGAAAACAAATCAATCACGAAATAACAGAAATTTGGAGACTTCAGCGTGAGCCAGGCAGGGCACACGGTAAGGAAGCTGACACAGTGCGCTCTGAAGTCAGCATCCCTTCTTGATCCTGGTTCTTCTCATTTTGGACTAGGCCTCTCTCCTCCCATAAAAATATTTATTAACTTCAAATGGACACAAACATATAGATATTAAAAATGAGAAAATAAAAAGTGGAATAAATTCTACTTCACTTTAATGGTCTGTCCCTGTAAAGAACCACATTAATAAGAAGACTGATTCAAGGTAGTTCTAATTTTAGACTTGAAACTTCCTGGGTTAGCTGGACCAAATTAAACATCTGTAAGGAATGCTGTTAAGTGTTTAACCACCGGCTTGGGGTGGGGGATGGCGGTGCGTGGAGCTAACAGACTCTGATTCGCCTCTCTGATGACGTCTCTCATCTGTGATTTCTGCGGTTCATCTTCGGGCTACGAACGTGGCGAGCCTGCCCGGGGAGCAGGGGGCACAGGCTGCATCCCAGGGCTCTGTGCATTTTGTTTCCACGAGTTTCGAGGAGCAGCCGGACCCCGTGTGCACCCAGAGCCTCGCCAGGCGCAGGCACCGCTGGATGTGGCCACGAGAGTGGCACGAAGAACTCAACAGACAAGTTCCCCAGACGCATTCCTGTGGTCTGCTGGCTGTCTTTAGTGACTTAGTCACGACTTCAGGTGTCTAATTACAGGGTTTTGTTTTTATTTTTAAAAACAGTGTAGTCTTGACACAGCCAGTCCCTGAAGTGCACATCCTCTGCTTTATCAACCGCCCCTTCTTGACAGACCCAGTGCCAAGTGGTCTACACCACCCTGATGCTCAGAGAACTCGGGTTTCAAGGCTGCGAGGCTCAGCGAGGCTGGTAAAACCCCTTCCTCGTCTGTAGGCCTCATCCAAGGGAGGGATGCTAAAGGCCTGAGGGGGACTGCTGGCTGTTAGCTGGGTTAGAGCCTTCTGAGGCTGTTTGGTTCGCTGTATTTACCAGATTTTAATAGGAGTTAATTTATGTGGCTACAAGGCCAGTGAGGCTGTTATCTTGTACTGGGAAAAGCTGCCATCATCCAACTAGAGAGTGTAGCTCTAAACGTCTTCCTGTGCAGTCTGAATTACAAAGTAAGGAAGCCAGGGTTTGAATGAGAGTATTCTAGACAACAGTGATGGACACAGCAGTGAGGGACCCTGAGTACGTGCCTCCTCTGCTGGGCGCCCACCTGTCGCCTGTCCTCACGGAGCCCTCCCAACCACCTTGATCCCGTCTCACTGGGTGAGAGGCACCTGTGAACCCGCTGCCCAGGTCGGGGGTCAGATGGCCACACTGGACTCTGTGTTCTCCGGAACCCCTATGTGAGGACAGCTTCATGGGGCATCACCAGCCGTGACTGGGGCCCCAGGACTGCTGTGCCGGGTGCAGAGGATTCGAGGCGCTGAGTGTGCTGGTGGGGGGGGGGGGTCTCTGTCACAGGCGGAGCGTTTTAGGGCTGGTCGTTCACCCGGTCTCCTCCTCGTGGGGGTCGGGGCAGGGAGGCAGGGGCAGCTGAGCCTGGAGCTGGGGACGGGGCCCCGCGGGGCGTCTGCCACCATGAGTGCGGAGCCCTCGGTGTCAGGGGCCAGAACTCCAGGTGAGGACACTGCTGGGCTGTGGCCACACGGGATGGAGCCGAGTCTACAGGGGCCCGCAGCCCCGTGTCTGGATGTGGGGAGAAGCCGTAGGTGGAGGAGGTGGTGGGGGTGGGTTGGGGTGGAAACCCGGGGGGTAGAGACCTGGGGGGGCGGAGACCCGGGGAGGGGGTCTCCAGCCAGGAGGCAGCCGGCTAAACATGGCTGACAGCTGCAGCCTTCACCGCTTGGTGTGGCTGCCAAACACCCATAGAGAGAGATGATGCGTAAGATGCATCCGGAAGAAACGGCCAGCCCCGCGGGCGACGGGGTGTCAGGAGATCAGAGGTCGGAGGGGCTGAAGGCTGACCTAAGTGGGCGCTGCATGGGCTGTTAATGTTGTTAGGAAGGAAGGGTTTCATTCCCTTCAACACGTGACCTACCGTTTCTCCCCCTTATTCCGAAAGTCCTGTTTGGGAAAGGTCCCTTTTGTCGTAGGCCCGGGTCTGCTCCCAAGGCCAGATGGGAGGGAGAGGTCCACAGGCTGCCCGGTTTCCCTAAGGACCTGGGATGTGGGTTGGGGAGCAGAGGGCCTGTCTGATGTGCTGGGAGCAGGTCCATCAACTGAGGTCTTCAGTGAATTGCTTCCCGGGAAGACTGTGGTTGGGCGACACCAGGACAGCCTGGCAGCTGCAGGTCCACGGTGCCCGCCCTGGACGTGGCCACACGTCTGCCGCCCACCCCTGGGTCCGCGATACCTGCTCCGTGCACTGGAAGGGGTGGGGCTGGCCAGCGCTCCGCCCCTTTGTCAGGGGCACCTGCCACCCCCCAACCCCTCCATCCCCACACACACTCCCTGCTCACACTGACCAGCACAGTCTCCACACCCGGGCGATCACCTCCCTCGGCTCTGCTCTCCAGAGGGTTGGATCAAATCACGTGGCTTCTCTGAACTGCAGTTTCTTTGCCTCCCTTTGTGAGGTCAAATGAGTGATACATAGACATGTATCCCCTATATCCACAGGTTCTGTACTTACAGACCTAACCAACTCTGGATGAAAAATATTTGAAAACAAATTCCAGAAAGTTCCAAAGAGCACAACTTGAATTTCCTACACACTGGCAAGTATTTACAGGCATTTACATTGCATTTACAACAGCCTACACAGCATTTACACTGCATCAGGCGTTACACGCCATCCAGGGTGATTTGACGTGCACGGGAGGATGTATACAGAAGTGTGTATGTGATACGCAAGGGTCTCGAGCATCCCCAGAGTTTAGATTTCACGGAGGTCCTGGAACCCACCTCCCCATCAGACACCAAGGGATGACTGTACGTTACCTGGGCTTCATGGACACTCCATGGATTGTTCCTTTTGTTATTAGTTGGCACTGATGGAATTTTTTTGGAACTTCATATTAAAAGCAGAGAAAACCACACAGAACCTCTGAGGCCTCAGGGTGCTGACGTCCAGCCTGGCCCCGAAGCCCCCTTCCTGGCCCTTCAGACCACGGTTGGCATGTCAGAGCAAAGCTGTGCCCAGAACTCCAGACCGATGGACAGAAGCTCCCCACTGAGGTTCTAGAGCAGAGGACCTGAGGCCTGGGGCGGACGTGGGGCAGCAATGCCCAGCCCTGGGGAGGGCCCCCTGGGGCGCGGCCGGCCAGCCTTGGAGCCGACCCGAGGCCTGGCTGTCTGGGAATAGATCACAGTCAGGGGAAGCCTCGCAGTTTAGAAAACAAGGGCTTGTTTGTCGTCTTGTTCCTCTGGAGCCCGAGGCAGCGGTGTGGGTCCCCAAACCACCGAAACTGGGCGGGAGCCGAGCCTGCTCTGGGCGCGATGCCCGTCCCCGTGCCAAGCAGCCGCAGCCTCCAGGCAGGACGTGGGGGTGAGCGTGGGCCGGGCCCCTGGGAGGGCACAGGCTGCCCCCAAACCTGGCAGCGGCGGGGGGGCGTCCACCTCTCCTCGCGTGGGCCTGCCCCTAGAGGTTTCCTACGACACGACCCTCACAGCTTCACCCTGGGCCCCGAGGCCATCAGCGGGAGGCGGGAGAAGGCGAGGCATGGCCCCTCCTTTGTGTGGAGCCGTAAGGGGGATTTAGCATTGTCACCTGCGGGGATGACCGCAGCCCGTCCTGAAAGCGAACCTCAGCGTGTTTCCGTGACGACCCTATGGATGGGCGTTCAGGAGGCAGGAGCACGCTTTGTACCAGTACTGTCCACAGAGACAGTCAGAGTCCCCCTCCACACAGGAATCCGCCCCCGGGGCCCCGCCGGCCAGGGTCCCCCAAACTCCAGTCTGTTCTTGGCTGTGGTCTCCACCGCCCTGCTGGCTCGTGGCAGGAAAGCAGTGATGCCCACGGCCATGGACCCACCAGGGCCCGGTTCCTAACCCTCTGCACCCTGAGCGCAAGCCCCTCAAACAGGAGTCTGGGGTCATCTTTGGGGGTTTCTCCCTAAATCTGGGAGGAAGACATGTGGCTATTCATGTACTTTGCTCCCTGAACCCCAAGGACATTTGGGGAAGGCTCTGTGCTTCAGCGGCTTAATCACCTCCACTAAGGTTAATTACCGTAATTACGGCTCCACAGTCGTAATTGTAGCTCCTGTTGTCTTTGCAAGGATCTCTAAGGCCCTGTGAGTTTTGCGTGGTTGTTTACATGGTCTTTGATTATGTTTGTGCCTCACGCTGTTTACCTCTCGCTCCCAAGGGCTTGGCTGCATGGCCCGCTCAGGACCGGTGCGGCCCGGGCTCTGGGCTGGTGCTCAGATGTCTGACGTTGTCAGCCTGCGGCAGTGGGCAGTAACCAGCTCGCCACAGCAGGTCATGAAAACGCAGTCACCCTGCAGACCTTGCCACCAAAACACTCCTGGAGACTCACTGTGAGTCTCAAAAACGGCGCATATTCAGGCCAGCCCCGCCCCCCCACCCCTAGTGACCCCAGAACAGACGCCCCGCTGTTCTCATGGCTTATTCAGGCTGGTGAGGGGTCTCCCATTTGTATTGTTCCGGTCTGAATTACCTTCTCAAGCGTTCACTCACACTTCTGTTGAAGTGTTTAATAATAAAATCCATTACTTACGAGTGTAAATATGTAACTTCATTTATTATTATAGTAAACAATTTAACAGTAGTGGTAATAATGAGAATAGACATTTAGGAGGCCTTCCCTAAGTGCCTTCCACCACGCTAATGCTGTCGTGTTTTATCTCCTTTAATCCTCACTGTCTGGTGAGCTATAATCAATCATTATCCCCATTAAAATGATACAAGCTTATGAAGGTTAAATGAGCCACACCAACACACAGCTAGTGATACAGTCTGGTTTATTAAGAGCTTGACTTGGAATTTTAACCACTTGCCTGTCATATTAAGTTCTTGCCTTCTGGTTTATTGTTCATTTTTCACTTTAACCAATGCTCTTCTTATGTAGAAAATTTCAAATGTTCATATAGTCCTGCACATTGATCTTTCATTACTGTATTTTTTTTGTGACTATGCTTAGGGGCACTGTCCCTACTAGTGATCAGATCAGCATTTAGCTTTATTGCTTTCTAGTCTTTTTGTTGGTAACTTTCTCTACGTAATTCTCTGTATTCCACTAGAAATTTATTTTGCTGTAAGATGTGAGGTGGGAATGAAGTTCTCTACTAAGTAATCCATCGTCCATTCTGATTTTAAAATCCAGCTTTTATCAGTGTGACCCCGTCACATGTCTGCAGGAGTCTGACTGGTGCTTTATTCTGTTCCGTGGATTTGTCAGCTCTTCTCCTCCCACATCCTGCTGTCTTGATCATGGCCCCTTCACGTTGTGCTGGCGTCTGGGGAGCAAATCCTCTCTCTCCTCCTGAGCCCACATGCTCCTGGCTGTTCTGTAATCAGGGAGAGAGGGTTCCTCCCTGGCTCTGGTAGTCCACCTGGACTCTCCTGGCTGATCAACAGTTCAACGGTGTTGAAATGATTGGTTGCCGCTCAGAGTCCTGTTTTCTGAGGAGGTGAGCTCCTGATGGTGAGCCTCCCATCCTCCAGGAACAGTTGAGGACGCGTGCAGTGGAAGGGCTGGCAGACATCCTGGCCGCAGGGCCCCCAGGCCCCGGTGGTGGTCAGCAGAGGGAAGCTGTGTGCTTGCCGCTTACGGCAGGTGACGGGGAGGCTGGGGACACTGGCCCTTTGTGTGCGACGGTGAAAGAGGCTCATTCTCCACCCAGAGTCAGACGGAGGATTTGCACGGTGACTTCTCATCATTCATGATGCCATTTGTTCCTTCTCAATTTATAGCCCAAGAAACCCATTTTGGACAGAAACCAAGACAGGAAGTACCGGGAGGGGCTAGACAAGACGGAAGGGAGGCATAAGTGAGAGGCACCTTCCCCCACTCTGGTTCTGGGGTCACAGCATGGTTCCAGGTGGACAAGTGGGGCACGGGGACCAGGCATGTTCAGGAGGCATCAGGGACCCCCGGGCAGACCTGAGTCCTGCATGGCCAGTGGCTGGTGCCAAGAGACTGTCTCACCCATGGGGCTGTGGGTCCTGCTGCCTTCTGGCCCTGGAGACCCGGGGAGGAGCCCTCAGCCTGGACCCCACCGTCTGCTCTGCACCGTCAGGGGTCGAGTGCAGTGGGCTGTGGGCGTCCAGGGTCTGTGACGCCAGCGCCTCTGAGACCTTGCCAGCCCACGGCCGGGAGCCTTGTGGTGGGCTATGAGCCCCACCCATGTGGGTGGGCACAGTCCTCTCCCCACACTGGGCACGGCTAATGGCCTTGGTCCTCAGGGGTGCCTTGGCGATTCTCGAAGCAGAAGATTCATGAAGCAGGCACGTGCTTTCTAGGCCGCATGGTTCACTCGCAGCCACAGGGACCAGACACCCGGCCTGGCCTGGGAAGGCGGCGCTGACAGGTGGCAGAGCTGGGCAGAGGCCCCCCAAGTCTCCTGATTGAGTCTCTGAGCAGATCTGACTCTGGGCTGCAGAGTGACGGGGGCCTGGGTGAGGGTCCAGCCTGCCCCAGTTGCCGTTAAGGTC